TTAAATCATGCGGTGATGTGTCGCTAGGATCAGACCGCGTTCTCGTTCATGTTCATGTAAGGTGACAGAGTTTGAAAGCCACAGCTGCTGGAACAGAAGGAAATCATCACGATGTCAGACATGAGAGGGCAGAGATGACAGGCAGCCATAGTCCCTGCTGTACTGCGTGACTGTAGAAAGCACGCTATGTGTACTAGATCGCACACCCTAATCCATACTGTTATTCTGCAAGGGTTCCAAGAGGTCCAGCCTCTCAATGTCCTTCCCAGAATCAGAACGCAGACTCTTTCATGAGCCGTACGGCTTTGAATAAGCAACATGTTCATTGCAGCCAACTGATGTCAGATGAAGTCAGTGAGATCCTTTTTAATTTAAAAAGATCATGAAATGCAGTTTCAGATTTATATATGATGTTTCTCGAGGTTAGTTTAAAAAGATTGCATGTTTTTTGCACCAAAAAAGTCCAATATTTGAAAAACATATAATTTTACATCCTAATTTTCACTTTCTGTGAAATGCACTCAATTTGAAGGGGCGTTTTCTCATGCAGTAAATGTCTACTGCTCTGATTGGCTGACTTCATCTCACCGTAGCCACGCCCTCCTTTACAGCACGTGGTGTGTTTTGATACTAGAGATGGCAAGAGCTGGGATAAAGCTGGATATGTTTGTATAATTGTTTACTTTTCGGTCAAGCAAATCTTTCAATCAAAGATAGTATGAATAACCGGCAACATGTTTAGAATAATTCACAAACAGTCCGTTGTGACAAGCAAACAAAAACGCTGTCTTTCATTCGCTTATGCACGTCATTAAAAATCAACTTCAGCCATGCATTTGCAATGATCAGATCGGTAGGAAGGTCATGCAGAGTTTCTTTACATGCACCGAGTTTGATCTTCTTACTTTATGTCTTTATCCTACAGCAGTACTACAAGAGCAGTGTGTGATTTTCTGTCTTTCTTTTGTTACTTGGTTAACATCAATGACTCGGACAATAGCAACTAAATTAGGCTGCTATCCCTTTAAAACCGAATGCACAGCTGCAATGGATGCATTGCACTGATACACGTTCTCGCTGCTGTTTACGTTCACTTAAGACGTAATCATCTGTGTTTACGTGAATACTCGTCAAAATGGACAATTTGACATCATTTTGTTTGTAATTCTCCGTTCATGCGACTCGAGAGAGTACTCACACGCTGTGAGAGGCGCTTTCTGTGTGTGTGCGCTTCAGTGTCTGCACTCAGAAAACCGGACCGAATTGAGTTCTCTCTTGCGTCGTCAGATTTATCCATATGTCTGCGCTTCTCTTACTCCCACATATTGACATTTTTTAACGTTTTATACGACGTGCAGCAAGTGTATGTTAGCTTATGTCCCGCTGGTTCATATGTACGCATCTAACCTCCGAACCACGCAGCAGATTCATTCTGAACGAATCTCTTCCCAAAACGTCCCTCACTAACATTTTCGTCTCGTTTTTATTCGTTGACGAAAATGACAATAGATTTACGTCATAGCTTTTGTCATTCAAAAAGAGTTTTAGTTCGTTATCGTCGGTGAAAAAAAATGTCGTTGACACACTGATTCCTACCCAGCTTATTGGAAATATGTGCCTCTATCTACATTTCTGCAAAACTCAAAAAACATACCTATGCATATAAATCACTGCAGTTTCCAGTTGAAATGAACACTAGAGGCAGTAAGACACTTTATGACAACTTTTATTCCTTTTCATACGAATTTTGATTTACAGGGCCAGAGTTTCGATTATTAAAGTCTAATTTTCACACACTTCCTTGCACAATATTATGTTATGACTTCAAAACGATTTTAACATGCTGTGAGATTTGAAAACTGATACATTTGAACGTTAGCGTTTTCTGATGCAGTAGGTTTGCTCAGTAGCTCACGTGATACAGCGTTGCACTTGTGCGGTGAAGAGCTCCGGTACAAATCCTGCAGAACTACAGTTTGACGAAACAGCTCAAACCCGCGTATAAGGAAGTTAAAATAGCACGGTTGCATCAGTGAATGCATTTTTATATCACTTTTGCATTCGTTAACACTATCAGGTAGATTTAGGGTTGGGTTTGGTGAAGGGGGTTTATTATTTTCCAACATGATAGAGCATTAACCTTTTAACAACCCTCACCGGATATTTGAATTCAGAACCGCTGCAATACATACCAGAAGCAACGCAGCAACACGTGCCTATGCTAAAGTAATAAAAACATGTCATGGTCACGTATTGAATGTGTGTTTTAGCGCCACTCATTAGTCATTTCACTTTGAAAAACACAAAACGTGCAATAATATACATAATATCTGTGTTGCAGAAACGTCACCACAAGCACATATTTCCAATGAGCCTGGGTTGCTTTATTCTGTCTTCTTTCTATCGGTGAATGATGTTTGCAGTTTTATCTAGTTTCATTTAGTTTTGCTCTGCCTCAGTTTCAAATGATACATGTGTAGATCTCCTCCCTGTGACTAAGACCATTGCTGAGCAGAACATAAAGTAGAATAACACATTTGACCGACCTTTTCATGTGTAATATTGCTCAAGAGACTGGCAATTATATGTTGGCAGTTCTGCTCCATTTAGAGAGGTCCAAAGCACTCTTGGGTTTGACGTGTACTTATGTGTATACAGTCTGTCCTAGCTTATGTCCTTGCTCATGTGATCTGCCCAAGTAGGACATGTTCATGGATCACCAACACCTCTAAGTCTAGCAACAGCATTCCTGTGAGAAACTATTTATTTTCAGAACTGACTAGTCAGCAGGTTGTCTGAATGACTAGTCCGTTTTAATGATTAGGCTGGTTTATGATCAAATACACAACATCTACAACATTTCATTTCACAAAATATCATAGTCCTCACAAACAGATGGATTATGCATAACGTTTCTCATAGCAGGCAATTTGAAGTCCAGCAATGATTGTCTTTAGATTTAACCCTTGTGCTGTGCTAAAAATCCTTTACCTAATTTGGTTAAAAATGACCTGGCCTTTAAAAATTGCTTGCCATCTTAAAATGTTAATGCATTTTGAAATCTGTACATTGTATTTGTATACTGTATGTAACCACATATCTAGAGAAATGTGTTAGTTTATTATCTTTTAAATACTATAGGGTGTAACATTACACTTTTTTACACACTTGAATTATTAGTAACCTAAATTGGTATTTTAGTACATTGAATTTTAATGTTTTGATAGTGTATAATAGTGTGTGTTGGTAATAAAATATATGAAATACATTAAAATACAATAAAAGATTATTCTAGATTTGCAGTTGCTCAATGTTTAACACTCTTAAAAATAAAGGTGCTTCACGATGCCATAGAAGAACCTTTTTGTCTAAATGGTTCCATAAAGAACCTTTAACATCTGAAGAACCTTTCTGTTTCACAAAAGCTTCTTTGTGGTGAAAGAAGGTTCTTCAGATTACAAAAAGGTAAGAAAGAGATGGTTCTTTAAAGAACCTTTGACTGAATGGTTCTTTGTGGAACCAAAAATAGTTCTTCTATGGCATCGCTTGAAGAACCTTTTGAAGCACCTTTATTTTTAAGAGTGTAAATTACTGTTTCTACTCGGTCTAAAAAACAAAAAGAAGAAAATTCAATAAACAGTTGTTAACAAAAAAAGATGCCCATTACTTACTCTGCTAAAAATGACTGTCAATTAATGCAGAGCTGGCTTTGTCTTTCAGTTTCATCGATCTTAACCCTGCAATGCTTATGTGGCATCAATAAATGCTTATGTTGGCTAAAAATGATCCCAAAAATGAACATTCTGTCATCATTTACTCACCCTCAAGTTGTTCCAAACCTGCAAGAGTATCTTTATGCAGACTTAAAAGTAGATATTTTGAAGAATGTTGGTAAACGTAGTGTTGACGGTAGCCATTGACGTCCATGTGTTTTTGTTTTTTTCTCATACTATAGAAGTCATTGGCTACTGGCAACTGTTTGGTTACCCACATTCTTCTAAATATCTTCTTTTGTGTTGAACAGAAAGTAATAAACTCATGCAGGTTTGAACAACTTGAGGGTGATTAAATGACGACAGCATGTTCATTTTTGGGTGAACTATCCCTTTAAGAAATGTTTTGTCCCAGTCGATGTCATTTTCAATGCGTTTGCTATTATAAATATTACACATATTTATATGAGTTTATTTGCTCCAAAATCCTGTAAAACGAGTTCTCTGTTCAGTGTGTTAATTGGACGTGTGTTTTCATGTAATAAGTTCCCTTTGGAATAATTGAATGAAAACAGCAGTCCTGTGAGACCGACTGTGGTGAAGCAATTGGCAGCCTGTCGAGAAATCCAAGGCCGCAGGAAACTTGTGAAAATCAGAAGAAACTAAGTTTGACATCTGTATTTTTGTTCTACCATTTCATTTGCTCCTTCACTGTGACATCTCACTTTAGGAAGGTCTATGAGTGTGTATGTATGTTCCTGCAGCTCTCTGAGCTTTAATAGAAATAACATGTTTACATGCATCCTAATAATCCGCTAATAATCTGACTGATAGCTCAGTCAGACTGAAAGCACTTTAATCTGATTCAATAATACATTTATATTCCATTTACGCTTTTATCCAAAGCTGAACTGAGCTGGATGATGGCATCACTGAATTCCATGATGAACTGCCTTTAACTGAAAATTGAATGTTTACTATTGTCATTTTGCATTATTGACACACTATTTTCCTAATTACTAAATACTGTACAGTTGCTTTGACACAATCTGTATTGTTAAAAGCGCTATATAAATAAAGGTGACTTGACAAAGCACAATAGAAGCAATCAGACCAACAAGAGAGCAACAGTATAAGCGATGTGACAGGTCTCAGTTAGTCTATCACAGTGTACATAGCAAGTTTTTTTTTTATAAATTAGAAAAAAATGAATAGAATAGTTAAGTGCTAGTATTAATTGGTCAGGTGCTGATGAAAAAGAGATGTGTCTTTAGAGGTTTTTTGAAAATGGCTAAAGACTCAGCTGCTGGAATTGAGATAGGCAAGTTGTTCCACCAGCTGGGAACAGTCCAGGAAAAGGTCAGTGAGAGTAATTTTGTGCCTCTTTGGCATGGCACCACGAGGCATTGTTGCAGAACGCAAGCTTCTGGAGGGCACATAAGTCTGAACTAGTGAGTTTAGGTATATCGGTGAAGAGCCAGTGGTTGTCTTGTAGGCAAACATCAGACACCTTGAATTCTATGCAAGCGGCTATTGGCAGCCAGTGCAAGCTGATGAAGAGAGATGTGATGTGGGCTTTCTTCAGCTCATTCAAGACCACTCTCGCAGCAGCATTCTGGGTCAGTTGCAAAGGCTTGATAGTACATGCCGGAAGGCCCGCCAAGAGAGCATTACAATAGTCCAGTCTGGAGAGAACAAAAGCTTGGACAAGGAGTTGTGTGGCCTGCTCTGACAGGAAGGGTCTAATCTTCCTAATGTTGTATAAGGCAAATCTGCAGGACCGGGCCGTTGTAGCAATATGGTCTGTGAAGCTTAACTGATCATCAATCACAACTCCAATGTTCCTGGCTGTCCTGGAAGCAGTTATGGTTGACGAACCTAGCAGTATAGAGAAGTTGTGATGAAGTGCTGGGTAGTCTGAGACCACGAATATTTCGGTTTTAGCAAGACAGAATAATCCCCTGTATATATGTTCAGTGCTGTGATGCCACTATGCTTTTGTTCATTCACGACTTATACAGGTGGAAAAAAATGTTCAGTGCAGGAGACTGAATATTTCCTAAACATCTGCATTAGAAGTTCCTGATATGTATATGAAGAGTTTATTTGCAAAAACAGGTAACTCCGTTTTTAACAATTTTCAAAAAACATATTTTTTCAAAAAAATCATGTTTTTTATTATGTTAGCATGTTTTATTGAGTTTTATTGTGCTAGTTAGATGTACTTTTTAGTTATTTTTTAACCTAATCAAAATAACCCAACTGCAGTTTGATTGAGATTAATTGGAATGCACAATGAAAAAACATGATTTTTGAAATCATATCTGTTTTTGCAAATTAACTCTTCATATATATATATATATATTATCAAGGCAAAAATTCCAGTTCACTGACATTTCCTTCAGATTAAATGTAATGCACATTTTTCCAATATTTGCTCAATTCTGGGTACATACATTTTAAACAGTGCACATTATGAAGTCAGATTGAATTCCTTAGGTATTTCATATTTTAGCATATATTTTTTTTCTTAAAGCATTTCTTTTTATATTAAAAAAGATGTCAAACATAGGTGTTACAAGAAAGTCCAATACAATTTATTTAATAGTCATTAAACCAGATCATTTTTAAAATGCATCTCATTTGCTATTAAAGAAAAAGAAAGGATTGTTGTTGTTTTTCATGAAGAATAAACTGCTAAGCACACATTGAACACATCATTTCATTGTTTTAATCTGCAATGAAGGATTGCCACTGAATAATTAAGCTCATGTAAGCCATAAACTCATGTAAATAGCCGGTTTGGGTACTTAAAGTAGATTAGTATACTAATATTGTCTCTTATAAGTTGAGTTTTGGTTCCTTTCCAGTGTATAAATGTCACTGTGCCAGTTCTAGTCTTTTATGGGCCCTAAGCAAGGCTTTAGACTAAATGTTGTAATAGATCATGTTTATTGAATCACTGACATGAGCTATTCAGAACTAGAGATGAAACAGTATGAAAATATACACAATTATTGTGACCAAAATGATCACGGTTATCAATATTATCACAGTATTGTTAAAGTGTGCTGGAAATATTCAAAAAGTACACAAACAACAAATTAGCAGCACTTTTTGTTTGCATAAACATTCAAATAATAACATAAAAAATTATGGCCAGATTTAAAAAACAAACAAACAAAATATTGGTTGGGTGACATAACATGTTATCTACAAGCATATAGGCTACTACATGCTGACAAAAAAAGATTCTTTATAAAATGCATTTTAGCCTTTAAATCATTTTTAGAAAAAGATTAGTCAAAATGATGAATTATAGGCATTTTATCGGCTTCATTAGCAATTCTAAGGCTACCTTATTATCTGAAGTGCTGAGATTTTTAGAATGCACATTAGTTTGTTTTAGAACAAAAGATTTGAAGATTTACAACAGAAATGTAGTCTAAGTTTTGCATTGGTCTGAACAAAAATGGCAGACAGGCTGAATGAGAACACATATTCACAGTCTGACAGCAGGTGGCGCTTCTGGAACAGCAGAAATAGAGCTGTTTCCAGGTAACTTCTGTAAACAAAGCAGCGCTGCACTTATAAACACTGCTTTATTAGGCATTACACGGAGGGAAGATGTACGCATATATTACGTATCTCTTTTCCTGGTGCTGTGGTATAATTTTCTGCCGTATTTTGCTATGAGAGTGTCGTTGAGAGCATGAGGGCCCCCTGGTGGTTTGGGGACCTTGCATAGTTGAAATATAAGGACGTCGCTTATCCCGCTCAAAATTATAATAAACATGAATGATATCTGCAGTAACGATTACTTACAGACTTGTGTTTTCAAAACCAATCCCGTCCCAGTAAAGCTTGACTTCCTTGGCTCTTTTGTCTAGTTTTATAGCTCAACAATGGCAGTATAGCGAAGTCCTTTAGCAGCTATCTGTAATTTTGCTTTCTAAGGGCACGTGTGTGTCTTTGCTCAGCTTCTTTCATTCCAGCCTAATGGAAGTGTTGAGAATGAGATACGTTTGTCTGGGTTTTAATTAAGAGTTCAGTCAATGGAGCCCAACTTCCCTCGTTGTGTTCAGATTAGCCAGCCGACTGATGATGAGGATTGTGGGAGATGAAGCTGGCTCCAGGGGAAACATGTGTTCATATTATCTGTCAAAGCACATTTCCCCCCTCTGTCTCTCTAGGTGACGGAGCACGCTTTGCGGCATGATATTAATTGAAGGAGGGGAAGAAGCTAAAAAAAGACAGAAAATGGAGGTATAGGCATAATATTTGCACAATGCATACATTCAGACCTCATCCTGAGTTTACAGCTCGAAAGGCGACAGGCTCGGAGGATAGAAAACCAACTCAGTGGATAATTTAAAACATGTCATCTCATCTGACGAGACACAGCTAAAGGAGGGTCTCTCAGCGTTATAATGTTCACCTGACAGAGCAAAATGGAATCATTGGGTTGAAATGGCTTAAAGATGGTTATAGGGTGACTGTGAAATATTGTTGAGTGTTTGACATAGTTTTTCTGCCCTCCCCATACACCATTGTATTTTATTTGTTCTGTTTGGAAGATATGTTGACTTTTGATGATATGATGACTTTTATTTTGACAGCGATGAAAACGCGTGCACGAGGCTCCCAATCTCTATCTACATTATTTTACAATCTCTGTTTAACAGTTCTGACTATTAAATTATTAGACAGAACGTTTAAACAAAGTAAATGGTATGTGAAAGGGCTTTTACATTTGCCAAAAACGTCTCGGGTTACTTATGTAACCATGGTTCCCTGAGTAGGGAACGAGACACTGCGTCCTCTAGGGGTCGCTATGGGGAACGCCTCGCTTTTTTATATTAAAACAAACAAGCAGATGAGAAAAAGTAACGCAAAAATAACGTAACGTTACTTTCTATAAAAATTAACTAAGTAACAAAGTTAATTACTTTTTAGGGAGTAACACAATATTGTAATGCATTACTTTTAAAAGTAACATTCCTCAACTCTGTCTAAATTCTCCACGTTTCGGTCAAAAAACCTGTTTCAGGAGAAGAACGAATCCCCTACAGTTTCACTCAGAAATACATCACATAACACATTAAAAATAGTAATATCTAACTGGTTTTATTCAAGTCAAAAATGTTACTTAATATCACTGAACCAACCTCTATACATCAATTTATAACAAAACAAATTTTATGGGTTAAATCATGTAGGAACAGCTAAGACAAAACCTGAAGGTTACCACTTTTCACAGTGTCTAGAGGAAATAAAATGGGTTGTGAAAGCTGTTGACTTTAAATTGCTAAAATGTTGTGCTCTGTCAGGCAAATAACCTGTTTAGCTTCAAATCTCTTCTATTGCGCTAATTCATAACTGCACTTGTAATGACATGTCTGTGAGGATTTGTCCAACACCAAGGGACAAGTTTGACCCAGATACAGTAATGAATGAGACTCAATTGTTGAGAGCATCATCTGCGTGTGAATGCTGATTTATTAATTAAATCGTTCATTAGTTCTGCTCACTCACCCTGTTTACCTGAAGGAGTCTGGAGCCGTTCATCAGTCTAGAAGCCTCTGGAAAAATGAATACCAGTGGCTCCTGAAGATATATTGAGGTCTTATGAAGCGCAACGATCACGAAACTATTATTTTCTGCAAACTGGTTCTTTAAGCAGTTTACATACATCATGAGAAGCCATAAAAACATTCATTTGGCCCCTTCCTTCAAGTGTTCGGTTCACGCGTGCTCATATCAGCGGCTCAACGGTCTTCGGTCCGAGTCGAACTGTTTCCTCAGTTCAGTGTCTGTTGGAGGAACTGGAGCGCTGAATGAGTTCATTCATCATAGGATCAGATACGCAGATATTTCGGCTCGTTTCCAGTCACAGTGACTGTCAGGCGTCTGAAAGTAAGTTTTGATTGAGTAACTTGTAGATCTGTGCTGCTCGAGACATAAACTGATTCAGACGATTCAGTCCGATTTGGTGAACTGTTCATTTAGTTCACTAAAAACAACTGAAAATCACTCTTTAGCGTTTGCCTGAGGCTCTGGATTACAGGTAATAATGCTGTAAATAATGCTTAGTTTATTGCACCGACCATTCATTTTGCTTCATAAGAGTCATGAGGATTCAGTTTTTGTTCCTTGATATGGGTTTTGTTTTTTTTTTACTGAAAAAATGCCAGTAGCTACTGATTTGCATTTTATAAATCACGAAGGATCACGGTTTAAGATAAAAAAAAAACTTTCTATAACTTCTTTATAGAAAAAAAAGTCACCTAGATCTTGCATGGCCTGAGGGTGAGTAAATTAACAGCAAATTTTCATTTTGGGGTGAAATATTACTTCAAAATGCTTTAAGAGTCTTATGATGAGCTTCTGTTTCGACTGTACAGTAATAGTAATTTCTATACTAATATACACATATAATATACATTAATATACATGCAATTGTTATACTATTATACACAGACACATTACTGAATTGCAGTGATTTTCATATTTACACATATGTGTGTCTAATTGTATCGGATGTGGACTTGTAGTGAACAACAATTGTTAAAAGTATATTTTTTGTAAACTGCACTTGCAGATAATATAAAATTAAGGA